GATGCGGGGAGGATTATCGTGGCCCCTGAGCAAGGGAGACATGCAAATTCCTAAAGAAAAATGGCTTCATTCAGGAAGTGGGGTATGCAACCCAGTCAGTGAATTGTCTCTCTCATCCATCTCTTAAAATTTCCTTGCTTGGCCTCTCTTCTCTCCCTTTTAGTACCTTTTCCATCACCTTCCCAATGAAAGCAGGAGATCCATTACTTGAGCACCCAGCAGACTCCTTCCAGCCACCCTGAAACAAGCTTTGGGCAATTTTTGGAGAGGTTCCAGGGGTCCCCCAAAGATACAAGTGCTGGATATGGCTCTGGAGCTTCAAGCTGTGGATGCTTGGTTTAAACAGCTGGAATGTAGTGATGAAGATGCAGGACGGTTACCATGGAAACCTAAATTCAAATCCCTCTTTAGCCATGGAAGGGCCTTGTTTGATTTGGGGCCAGACACTCTCTCTGAGACCAACCTACCTCTCAGGGTGGTGGTTCTGATGGAAAAGAAGAGAAGGGAGCACGATGCATAGAACCTTGAGCTCCCAAATGAAAAAGCAGGATATAAATCTAACAAGTGAACAAACAGTGCCAAACTAAACGGTGTCAAAGGTAAGTGTTCTATCTTCCAATGTATTCAAAATCATGAGGACTGGATACTTGCTTTCTTTTAAAAGAAGGGCTGTAGTTCTGACCCGAGTGGCAGAATATATGCTTAATCCTAGCTTTCATCTTCAACATCTCTCGGTAGGCAGAAAGATCTCTATCTGAACTATGAAGAGTTATTTCAATTCCACGCAGAGAAGATTAAGGTAGATGGATCAATAGTTTGACCCAATACAGCTTATCACAAACATGGTAATCTTCTAATGCAATCTGCCCAGAACACTTTTATCCTGGCCAATTAAGATTCCAATAGGCCATGCACACCACATGCTTTAATTCGAGATCTAGCAGACGCGTTCACACAACATGCTAAGTTCAGTTCCTGTAGGGTTTTTCTTTGGGTGTGGTTGTGCAAATCTAGCTCCCATGGTCACTTATGGTTATCCCAGTGCTGACTTTTTTAAATGCTCCGGAGAACATTTCTGACACACAAAGATCCTGGTGCCCTGTTTTGTCTCGGCATGAACAAAAAAAGAATTCAATCAAGCCTTGAGACCTGAATTTTGGGGGATCAGGACTTAGCCAACTCATTTCTGGCCTCTTGTTGGCTCCAGTGCTGGTTCGTTATTCACATAGAGACGCCACACTT